AAGTCCACAAAAGCAATTATAGGACTTTTTCCAGCTGAGACTTCAGAGATAAGGGAAAAAAGTTATCTAGATGCTGAATGTACATAAGACAACACTCAGCAGTGGTATTTAGTGCTACCCAAAACGTGTGGAAAACTTACACAATCCAGATGGTCAGCAAGTACTGAGTTTTCACATCTAACAGGAAAAGGAAGGGAGGTCCTGAAATGAGGAAAAAAGAAAGGAAATTTTCTCCTTGCAGAATCATTCACTACTGAATACCTCTTTATGATATTTTGATATCCTTAGACCAAGGCAGTACCGTATTTAGCAGGGTCCTAGATAACCCAATATTTTGTCGCCTAGAATCCAGGAGGCTCACATTTGCAGAAAATGGACTGGGAGTGTGGCTTAGTGGTGGAGTGTTTGCCTAGCATGCAGTTTGATTCGTCAGTACCACAGAAACAAAAAATAAAAATAGAAATATTAAAAAAATAGATTGCAGGAATGGAAAGAGTTTCCATGCCAGGTCTATAAATATTCACACAAAAAATTAATAAGTCAACGATTAATACAACACAATCAACTACAGCAGCTTAGTTTCTGTTCTTGACCTTATTTGGTTTGGTTTGGTTGTTTGGTTTCTTTATCTGGTTTCCAACTCATGATGTTCCCACTCCAGCCTGATTGGTGGGATTTTGCACGTGCACTACCACCCATGGCTGCTCATGGGAAGTCAGTCATCTTCTTATATCGTATCCCATCTTCTATAGGACCCTTTCACAGATCAAAATCCCAGGGGAAGATTCCTCGTATTTTATTTCCTGAAATTGTATGAGTGTACATCAAAATACTATAATTCTGTTGATTATTTGAACTGAATTTGAACTGTCTTCCAGAGAAAGTAACATTAATTTATATCGGCCAGCAGAGTATGGCATGAGTTTCAATCGGGAAATGTGAATCAAGCCTAGAGAGATGGCTTCCTGCGGAGGCAGGATATGTAAATTGACTGGTACCACGTTTAATATTATATATGCTTAACACAGAGAGAACTGCAATCTTCATTTGAAAAGTTTTGAACAGTGTAAACATTTCCCTCCTTGCTCTTCTCCTTGTTAATGAAAAACAAGTGGTGTTTGGGAGAGCTAATCCTGTTCAATTCCTGTCATCCCTTATCCACATTACCTTCTTTTTTAAATTTTTTATTGTAAAAATGTTGTACGGAGGGGTTACAGTTACATGAATAGGGTAATGAGTACACTTCATAGCAAGCATTGTTACCTCCTCCTTTATTTTTCCCCTACCATCACTTCTCTCCCCACCCCCCCACCTCCCGCCCACATTGTAAAGTTCATTTTCAAAATAGTGTCCTGTACATCTCGTCATCACAATGGGTCAGCCTGCAACCTCATTTAAGCGTTCTGCAATATCCCTTCCCTTCCCCAAATTACAAAAATATATATACAAGGTGCAGAGCACAAGCATCAAATCCAGTGAGAACAGAGGTTATGCTATGGGGGAAGAACATACAATAGAAAAAAAGAATCACATAGTTAATTGTAAGTACATTAAAAACACTAGCAAGAAAGAGAAAAAAAACAACCTCTGTGTCCCTGTCTTGGGGTACATTTTGCTTAACATTATCTCATAAGGTCGTATGTACATAGCCTTTGACCTACTCTGCTTGTCCTAGACATGTACTAGTCACTGAAAACAAGGGAAGCCATGGGACCTATGTTTCTTTGGGCCTGGCTTACTTCACTTAATATGATTTTTTCCAAGTCTTTCCATTTCCTGACAAAAGAGGTAATGTCATTTTTTCTGACGGAGGCATAGAATTCCATTGTATATATGTACCATATTTTCTTTCTTTCTTTCTTTCTTTTTTTTTGGGGGGGTCAGGTCATGGGGCCTGATCTCTGGGTCTGGGCGCTGTCCCTCAGCTCTTCAGCTTAAGGCTAGCGCTCTACCACTTGAGCTACAGCACCACTTCTGGCTTTTTTCTTTTTGCTTATGTGGTGCTGAGGAATTGAACCCAGGGCCTCAGGCATGCAAGGCAAGCACTCTACCACTGAG